GGGATCCAGGTGTGCAATGGGATCCAGGTGTGCAACAGGATCCAGGTGTGCAATGGGATCTCGGTGTGCAAGGGGATCTCAGTGTGCAACAGGGTCCGAGTGTGCAACGGGACCTGGACATGAGAATGTGATGGGATCCAGGTGTGCAAGGGGATCCAGGTGTGAAAGGGGATCCAGGTGTGCAAGGAGATCCGAGTGTGTAATGGGATCTGGACATGGGAATGCAGTGGGGTCCAGGTGTGCAACAGGATCCGAGCGTGCAATGGGATCCGAGTGTGCAAGGGGATCTGGACACGGGAATGTGGTGGGATCCGAGTGTGCCACGGGATCCAGATATGGGGCTGCAATGGGATCTGAGTGTGCAAGGGGATCCAGGTGTGCCACAAGATCCAGGTGTGCAAGGGGATCTGGACATGGGAATGTGATGGGATCCGAGTGTGCCACGGGATCTGAGTGTGCAAAGAGATCCGAGTGTGCAAGGGGATCCAGATGTGGGGATTCAATGGGACCTGGACATGGGAATGTGATGGGATCCGAGTGTGCAAAGGAATCCAGGTGTGCAAGGGGATCTCGGTGTCCAATGGGATCCTGGTGTGCAATGGGATCTAGACACAGAAATGCGATGGGATCCGAGTGTGCAACAGGATCCAGGTGTGCCACAGGATCCAGGTGTGCCACAGGATCCAGGTGTGCCACAGGATCCAGGTGTGCAACAGGATCTGGACATGGGAATGTGGTGGGATCCGAGTGTGCAAGGCGATCCGAGTGTGGCACAGGACCTGGAGATGGGAATGTGGTGGGATCCAGGTGTGCAAAGGGATCCAGGTGTTCCACGGGATCCGAGTGTGCAACAGGATCCGAGTGTGCAAAGGGATCCAGGTGTGCCACAGGATCCAGGTGTTCCACGGGATCCGAGTGTGCAAGGGGATCTGGACATGGGAATGTGACGGGATCCAGGTGTTCCACGGGATCCAGGCGTGCTCCGAGATCCGAGTGTGCAAGGAGATCCGAGTGTGCAAGGAGATCCGGGCGTGCCGGGGGGCTCGGGTGGGCTCCAGGGCGCGCGCCGGGGCGTGCGGCGGGAGCTGAGTGTGCAACGGGACGTGGACAGCGGGCGCCGGGACGTGGACGTGGGCATCCGCTGGGACACGAGCGTGCAACGGGAGCTGAGTGTGCAACAGGAGATGGACATGGGAGCCCGGCGGGATCTGAGCGTGCCGCGGAAGCTGAGCGTGCAACGGGAGCTGGAGGCGCAGAGGAGGCTGAGCGTGCAACAGGAGCTGAGCGTGCAACGGGAGGTGGAGATCCAGAGGAAGCTGAGCGTGCAACAGGAGCTGAGCGTGCGGCGGCAGCTGGAGCTGGGCGTGCAATGGGAGCCGGGCGTGCAACGGGAGCCGGGCGTGCCATGGGAGCCGGGCGTGCAACGGGAGATGAGCGTGCAACGGGAGCCGGGCGTGCAACGGGAGGCGGAGCTGAGCGTGCAACGGAAGATGAGCGTGCAATGGGAGCCGAGTGTGCAACGGGAGATGAGCGTGCAACAGGAGCCGGGCGTGCAATGGGAGCCGAGTGTGCCGCAGGACATGGAGCTGAGCGTGCAACGGGAGCTGAGCGTGCAACAGGAGCCGGGCGTGCAATGGGAGCCGAGTCTGCAACGGGAGGCGGAGCTGAGCGTGCAAGCGGCCCCGAGCGTGCGGTGGGACGTGGAGATGGGCGTGCAAGCGGAGCTGAGCGTGCAAGGGCAGGACGCGAGCGTGCAGTGGGAGCCGGGCGTGCAAGGGGAGCTGCTGAGCGTGCAAGAGGCGACGGGCGTGCAAGGGGAGGCGAAGGCGCCGCAGGAGCCGGGCGTGCAAGAGGCGCCGGGCGTGCAACGGGAGCCCCTGAGTGTGCAAGGGGAGGCGGGGGTGTGAGCGGGCGTGCAAAGGCGCGGGCGTGGGGCTGAGCGCTGCCCCCCACCCCACCCCCGGGGCACGCGCGTGTGCAAGGTGGCGTCGCTGCCCCACCCCCCTTCCTCGTGCCCTCCTTGCACACTCACAGGGTCAGCGCCTTGAACGCTCACGGCTGGGCCTTGCACGCCCACGCGTGTGTGCTCGGCCCTCTCCTTGCACACTCGTTACACACTCGGCCTTCTCTTGGCACACCCGTCACACACTCGCCCCCTCCTTGCACACTCATCACACACTCGCCCATCCCCTTGCACACTCGCCTTTCACACACTCAGCCACACCCCCTTGCACACTCAGCCCCACCCCCTTGCACACTCATCACACACTCAGCCCCACCCCCTTGCACACTCATCACACTCTCAGCCCCACCCCCTTGCACACTCGTCACACACTCAGCCCCACCCCCTTGCACACTC